TACTTGTACTTAGAGTGGATTTCTTATAGACCATGTGGAGTTTTTTTTAAATCAACTCTGACAGTTTTTTTTTCTTTTAAACCTCTGATGGTATCATTAAACTAATTGTTTTTAAAAAGATTTATTTTTATTTGAAAGGCAGAATTACAGAAAGAAGGACACACAGATAAAGATCTTCCATTCATTGGCTTATTTCCCAAATGGCTGCCATGCCCAGAGCTGAACTAATCAGAAGCTAGGAGCGTCTTCTGGGTCTCCCAAGTGGGTGCAAGGGCTCAAGGACTTGAGCCATTCTCCATTACCTTTCAAGCCAAAAATTAGAAGCAAAGCAGCTGGGACATGAATTGGCACCCATATGGAATACTGATATCACAGGCAGAAGCTTAGCCTACCATGCCACGGTGTCAGCCCCCTGAACTACGGAGTTTTAAAAAGATTACTTATTTGAAAGTCAGTGTTATGCAGAGAATGAAAAGACAGGGAGAAAACTTCCATCTGCCGGTTCACTTCCCAGATGGCCACCATGGCTGGGGTTGGCCCCCGCCAGAGCCACCAGTCAGGAGTTTCATCCTGGTCTCTGATATAGGTGGCTGGGGCCCAAAGACTTGTGCCACCTCCTGTTGCTTTCCCTAGGCCATCAGCAGGCAGACAGATCAGAAGTAAAGCATCTGGGACTCAAACAGGTGCCTAAATGGGATGTTTGCATCACAGGTGGTGACTTCTACCTGTTGTGCCATGACTCTGGCCCCTAGACCTTTGATGTTTAAAGTGACTGTATATAATTGGATACCTATCTTCAGTATTTTCTATTTCTGATCTTGATCAGTTTTCTTTTATTGCTTCCCACTGTAGTTTTCCCTTCCTTACTGTAATTGGCTATTTTATATGATTCACTTTTCTCTTAGCATATAATTTACATTGTTGCATAGTTTATACCATCTCTTGCAAGGCAGGTCTGTTGGTAAGAATTTCCTCAATTCTTGTTCAGAAAAGTGCAGAAAAAGTATTTGAATAATTCATTACCCTTTCGTGATAAAAACACTTAGCAAACTATGAAGGCCATATATGAATAGCCCAAGTAACATCTAAGTCCTAGCTAGAGCAATTGGGCAACAGCAAAAAGAAAGGAAAGAAGGAAGAAAGAGAGGAAGGGAGGAAGAGAAGAAAGAAAAGAAGCCAAGTAAGCCATCCAAAAATGAAAGGAAGAAAAAAATGATCTCTTAATGGATGTGTTGATGGGTGAGAAGACTCAATATTATTAAATTGTCTATGCTGTGCAAAGTGATTTATAGATCCAGTGCAATCCCTAACAAAATCCCAACAGCACTTGTTTAGAAATATTTTTAGAAAAAATACAGTTTGAGAATAAATAAAGCCGGAGTTCTTCAAAACAAATTATAAAGCTATGATATTCACAACTGAAACTGGCATAAAAAAGCAATGGGACAAATAGAGATCCTAAAATAAACTCATGCATATATGGTAAAAATGATCTTTAACAAAGGTTGCATGGCTATTAAATGGGGAAAGGATAGTCTCTTCACGAAAGGATGTTGGTGCAGTAGGTTATAAGTTGCTGCTGGTGACCCTGGCATCCCATATTGGAGTGCTGGTTCAAGTCCTGGCTGCTAGGCTTCCTATCAAGTTCCCTACTGAAAAAGCAGTGAATGACAATCCAGATACTAGGCCGCCACTAACCATGTGGGAGACCTTGATGGAGTTTTGGGCTCCTCACTTCAGCCTGGCCCAGTCCTAGCCACTGTAGCTATTTAAGGAGTGAACCCATTGATGAAAAAATCCCTTCCTGTCATTCTGCCTTTCAAACACATCAATCAATAAATCAATTAATCAGTCTAAAATTCATATGCAAAAGAAATTGGACCCTTATTTTACAGTGTCCACCTAGCAACTAAAATGGATTAAAGAATCAAACATAAGACCATAAAACTCCTAAAAGAAAACATAAAAGACAGCATTCATGACATGAGTGATAGCATTAAATTTTTATCACCAAAATTACAGGCAACAAAAGCAAAACTAGACAAGAGAACAGACAAGTGGAAAACTAAAACTTTCTGCCCAGAGAAAAAGAATCAACAAAGTTAAAAAGGTCAACCTGCAGAATGGGAAAAAATATTTGTGTACCATATATTTGATAAGGAACTGTAACTCAATTATCAAAAACCTAAATGACCTAATTAAAATGTAGTTGAGGGGCACTTGGTACAGTTGATTAAATGATCATTTGAGATATTTGATCTCATATTGGAGTGCCTAGTTCAAGCTGCTTTGCTTCTGATTCAGCCTCCTGCTAATGTGTAGCCTTGGAGGCAACAGCTGGTTGCTCAAGTACTTGAATCTGCCACTGTGTGTGATTCCCAAATGGAGTTTTCTAGGCTGCTGGATTCTGGATGGCTCAGTCCTGGCTGTTGTGATATTTGGGGGATTGACTCAGAAGATAGATACTTTCTCCCTGCCTTTAAAATATGATGGAAAGAAATAAACATTGTAGAAGTTAAAAAGATAGGCAAGGGAACTGTGTATATATTTCTTTAAAGACATAAAACAGGTATATGAAAAGATTTCAACATGATTGAGCACCAGGAAAGTGTAATCAAAACTCACAATGGGATTTCACCTTACCCGATGGGTTGGCAATTATTAGAAAAGCAAAGCAAAACAAAACAAAACAAACAAAACCAGGATGCAACAAATGTTCAGCATGTGAAAGAACTAGAATCCTTCCCCTGATGATGACAATGTAAAATGACACAGCAATGGGGAAAGCTATACAGTGTTTTCTTGAAACGTTAAAAATAGCATTATCATATGACTTAGCAATTCCACTTTTTTGGAAAATATCATAAAGAAGGCAGAGTCTCAAAAGAGGTAATTTTTTTTTTAATGGATAGAGCCTCCATTTCTTTATTTGTGAAATGAGGCATTAAACTTAATCAGTGGTTTTCAGTTATATTAGATAAAAGAGGTATTTGAAAACCCAAGTTCATACACCATTCTTCACAAGAGCTAAAAGGTAGAAGAAGCAACCCAAGAGGCCATTGATGGATAAATGGGATAAAAAAACAATAGTCTATAAGACAAAGAATATCATTCATCCTGAAACAAGAAACGCAGGCATATGTGACAGCATGATGAACCTTGAAGATATTATGCTAAGTGAAGTTAGATACTTTAGGACAAATATTGTGTTGTTATATGATATTATCTAAAGTAGTTAAAAATCATAGAGAGTAGAATGGATATTGACAGAGAGTATTGATTATAGAGTTTAACTCATGTAAGGTGAGGAAGTTCTAGAGATTTGCTAAAAACAATGCGCATGCAGTTAACAAACTAAACTGCATATAAGTTTGAGAGAGTATATCCATGTTATGCATTTTTATCACACACACGCACACACACATTCATGCATAATTCCTCTGAGTTATTGTTAAGTGGCAATGTGGAACAAGACCCTTCAGGACATATAACACCAAATAAATTAGATGAAATACACACAGATTTTGCAAGTTGTCAAGTGTGGAACCAAGCTTGCTGATTTCCCTAAAACAGTAACTTTATTTAAGTTTTCTTGAAATATGTAATTCATTGTTTATTACAGTCAATACTCTGTACAACAGATTACTAAAGCTTAGTCCTCCTCTTTAACTGACAGTTTGTATTCTTTGATCAATATCTTCCTTTCTCCCATCTACCTGTTCTCCTAGCCTTGGAATTTAACTTTTTAAGATTCCATGGCCTAGCGGCTAAAAGTCCTCGCCTTGAATGTGCTGGGATCTCATATGGGTGCCAGTTCTAATCCCAGCAGCTCCACTTCCCATCCAACTCCCTGCTTGTGGCCTGAGAAAGCAGTCGAGGACGGCCCAAAGCCTTGGGACCCTGCACCCATATGGGATACCCGGAAGAAGTTCATGGATCCTGGCTTCAGATCTGCATAGCATCGGCTGTTGCACTCACTTGGGGAGTGAATCATGGGACAGAAGATCTTCCTCTCTGTCTCTCCTCCTCTCTGTATATCTGACTTTCCAAAAAATAAATGAGTCTTTTAAAAAAAAAGATTCCATATATGAGATAAGGTAATATTTGTCTGTGCCTAGCTTATTTTAAATAGCAAAATGATCTCCTGGCTCATCTGTGTTGTAAATGGCAGACTTCCCCCCACCCTACCCCATGAGGGTGAATGGTTATTCCTTTGTATGTATGCCACATCTTCTTATCTACTCATCTGAAGACTGACACCTAGGTTACTTCCTTGTTTTGGATATTGTGAACAATGCTGCAGTAAACATAGGAATGCAGGTATCTCTTTAACAGCTTTAATTGGAATCAACCAAATGAACTTGTCTTTATAGGTAATGCTTCAAAGTATCAAGCAAATGAGTTGATCATAGGCTTAACAAACCCATTCATTACAAAAAGCTGATGTGCTGAATATTTTTACTTGTACAAAGTAAAAGGGTACCTCCAGTAATTTAATTATGAAACCACTTGGTTGTCTTCTGTATTTGGGATGCAAATGAAATCTGCTCTGTTTGGTGTGAAATAGCAAGGAGGGACAGCCACTGTGGTACATCAGGTTAAGCTGCTGCTTGTATCAGGTACTTGGGTTTGAATCTCGGCTACAGTTTCCTGATAATGTACACTCTAGATGGCAGGAGATGATGGCTTACGTGTGTGGCTTCCTGCTCTCCATGTTAGAAAACCTGATGGAGTTCTGGGCTCCTGGCTTCAGCCTGGCCTAATATTGAAAAAACTAAGAAATAGTTTTTTCTTAGAAAACTAAGGGAAAAAGTATTTTTGTTTTCCCACCCATATGAGTGACCCAAATGGAGTTCCATACTCCTAGCTTCTGTAGAGACTAGGCTATTTAGCAAGTAAGTCAGCAGATGGAAAATCTTCATCTTCTACTTTGTCATACTATCTTTCAAGTAAATAAAATAAATTTATTAAAAAAAATAAATTGAAGGAAAAATTCTCAGTTATTTTAGAAATGTCTTTAATATTCTGACTGGGCTGTCACAGGATGGGGAAATCTTCATCTATATTACTATTGCATTTTCACATTCTGTTTTCTTGGCATGAAGACGTGTGTATGTAATCAAGTCTGTCTAGACGGTATCTCAAAACAGAAGAGATCTTTTACTTTTCAGTATTTTGGGACTTACATACATAAAAACTGCTTTACTTCTATGGCTTTTCTAGTATTATATGAACTGTAGATTTATAAAATATGGCAAATCCCTGTCTTTTTTTCTACCTTGGCAAAGGGCAATTTCTAATTCAAGTATGTAATAATCTCCACTAGAGGGATTTGTCCATATTCACAGAAACAATGAAACAAAGTATTAAGTTTTGAGCTCTTATTAAGCTGAATAAACTTAATATAGAAAATGCACAATATGAAGTTAATTACATATGAACAATGTAAAAGATGTGTAAGTAAAATTTTATTTTGCAGTGACCACTTTTTGTGATTATGTAGATATGATCTGATCCAGGAAGAAAATCTATAGACAAGAATTCTTTTTAGAAATTAACATACTATTTACCGCACAAGCCCATATACCTGGAGCACAATGAAGGAACAAAAATTACTTCTTCACATTGTGGTTATAAGGAATCCAATGTTATCTATTTTACATATGTCATTATTTTTTCACTTGTTCGAGTATTGACTAAAAAGTCACAGTGCTCAGATGTAAACAGCCATATCATAACTTTGATGCAGTTACTAAGGCTGCAGTAAAGCAACAATATACAAACACATAATCCTAAATGAACTCATTTTAAGTAGACAAAAAAATGACAGTATAATTTAAAAAATACTTAAAGTCATTCTTCTTGATTGAGTCTCTGAGCACTTCCTTTTTCTTGCCTCTTGAAAAGTTTTTTTTTTTTTAATTTATCAGTGAGGTTTATACACTTGATCTTAGCCAAAAGGCCGAGAAGCATCTGAAGTTTCTTTCACCTAATTGCGCAGACTCTATCACATGATGTCACATTCCGATTAACTGTATGAGCAAAACTGCTCATAGAAACTGAAAATTTAAAATATTGAATTTATTATCAGAAGAGTTGTAGTTTATCTTTCTGGTTTATGAAAATCTACAAAAAGTATTCTGTTTAAACAGATACATTTTCTTTCTCCTAGAGCAAGCATTATGAAGCAAAACATTTGCGTTATAAACAAATAACACAAAAGCACAACTCTTGAGGAAAAAGATCTGACATTTACCAACAGTTTTGGGAGGTGAAACATCAACACTTAGATGATACAATCCATTACATGAATCTGTAATGTGTCTATGTCAGGCAGGACTTGTCCGCATCTGGGGCAAGAATGAATTGGAATGTTCCACTGTTGCTGCTGCTGCCAGTTTCCATCCTCAGCTCCTAGGAATATATGAAAAGAAATGTCACTTTACTAATTTAATCCCACAGCACTTGTGTGTGTTTGTGTGTGTGGATTAGCGTGTGAAGCCACTGCACTGGCCCCCCTTAGTTTTTCAGTGTGATTTGTAGATACAATGATAAGAATGTAATTATATTCCCTTACTCCCTCCCTTCTTTCCTCTCTCTTCCTTCCCTTTCCTTACTCCACCTCTGTTTTTGTTTGAGATATCATATGCCTGTTGAGTTTTAAACTCTAATCCATTAATCTCTTTTTTTTTTAAAATTGAGATTCCTTCATTGCAAGCATATACCAAACATAGAGTCCAGCATCTCATTGTCCGGTCAAGTTCAGCGGCTTCTTGGGGAGACCCTCCCCGGTCCGAAGGCAGAGGCAACACAGTAGAATCCCGGTCAATTAAAAGCCCCAACATAACATTAGCAATGATATATAATGTTAAGGGATAAATTGACAAAGTATTGAGCAACCAATTTGTCAAAATTGGATGCATGGTCTTAACAACTTCCTGTGACTATTTCTATGACATTTCAACAATTGAGGTGCGAAACAGTTTTAGGAAGGGTGTGCAGAGAAATCTTCCATACCTTGGTGAGGAGTACTGAATCCCCGTGTCCTATCTAGTAAGGTATGTGTGAGTCCATGCTGACCAAGCCTTCCTTGTTCTTTGCCTATCCATTCCAACGTGTGAGTGAGTGAGTGTGTGTGTGTGTGTGTGTGTGTGTGTGTGTGTGTGTTTGGGGGCGGGGGCTCTGGAGCGTCCCTCATGGTCATTGCAGAGAGGGTGTGGACCCGAAGGTGGAGCTAAGTAAGAACCAGAGATAGCTCCTCTCCCTAGTCCTGAAGGGAGTTTACTGCTCTTCTGTTTCTGAAGACTGCTCAGGTTTCCTGGTTGTTGTTCCGATGGCCTTGGATCCTATAATGAAGGATTCAGCTTCTTCCATCACATGTGGTAGGTCCAAGGGGTGGGGGGAGATGTCCTCTGAGTTCTTGGCCTCCGAAGGCTTTCCAGTCCCCTGTGGTCCCTTTGGCAGTTGGGATGTGGTCCTTGGCACCTGTACTGATAGCCCTTGGTGGGGATCTGGGAGACTCCAGGTTTGGGGTACAAAGCCTCCTCCTGTCCACCTGCTCCACTCTGTGGTCCCCCACTGCTCTGTGCACATGACCTCCTGTTAATAGGTTGTCAGGGTCGCTCTTGATTCCCCCATATGTCTTTGTAGTTTTACTGTTGTCTAATGTTGTCTTGAATCTGTTGTCTACAAGTTACCTGTTATGTGCCTGAGAGGTTACACTACACGGCTTCCTCACACGTTCAAAGGAGATGGAAGGTTTCTTTGCTCTCCCACCCTATTTCTGAGTAGTAAAAGGTTTTGAAAATATATTTGGTTATACAATTTTAAAAACACATGGGTTGAGACCATATTAGGTAGAGGTCCATCGGGGGAGATTTTACATCATTGGGAATCGTTAGGGTTGATTCATGTACCCAAAGCCCTGAGGGTTCATCATGGAGCTTTCTAGGCAGCAATCATAGAAACCAAATCCCAAAGCTCCCTAGCTGGGCAGCCAGCAGGCGGAGCCTACCGCCAAATGGCGCACTGGCCGACGGATACCGGCTCTGAACGCGCACATGGTTGTGGCCGTGTGCGATCCAGGCATGGGACGCTACTTGTCCCGGGGCCTTCCAGCCACCATGTAGTGGCTGGAAGACTACTTCCCCAGGTTCAAGTTCCACCCCTTCCCGGTCCTGCCCTCAGCTCAAGCCCGCAGGCGAGCAGTGAAGCAGTCAAGCAGTCGGATCCGCTTCACAGAGCTCCGTGGGTAGTCCACAGCGCTCTGGCAAGCCCGATACTGGCTCCAGACACACGCATGGTAGCGGCCACTTGTCCCAGGGCCTTCCAGCCCCCATGCGGTGGCTGGAAGACTCTTTGGTTTTCTTTTTACACCTGCTTGTCGTTTCTTGTTTTGCGCTTGTCGGGGCCTGGGTCTCACCTTTCCACACAGGCAGTGGGAGATGAGCTGAGGCTCCTGGTGGCTCTAGGCACTGAATCTCACCCATGGCTATGGCCAAAGCCAGGGTGATTTTCAACCAGCGCCACCATTAATCTCTATTTCACATATGTGAAAATATGTGGTTCCAGTTCTGTATACATTCAATACATATTTTAGTAAAAGCTAGGATATTTGAGAGAAGAAAAGCAATGAATGAGGATGGAAATAAAAGAGGAAGAGTGTGCAAAGAGAAACTGAGAAACTTTATTTGCACGCTAGTCCTCTGCCTGCAGCACCAGCATCCCCTATGGGCACCATACCAATTCAACTCCTCTTCTGATCCAGCTCCTTGCTATGGCCTAGGAAGGCAGTGGAGGCTAGCTCAAGCCCTGTATCATGTGGGAGATCAGGCATATGATATCTCAAACAAAAGCAGAGGTGGAGTGAGACAGTGAGTGAGACAGTGAGAGAGGCCATGTGAGAGAAGCAGCAGCAATCGTGTGGTGAGGGGTCCTGACTAAACTTAGTGCAGCAGGGGCTCCTGAGTGGGGCCAAGTACACTGAGAGGAGCCTTGAGAAGGAACTAGATTCACCCAAGAGGGGGATGAAATTCAAGAGTGACACCTGTCATTTCCCCCAGTTTTGGAGTTGCACTGAAGTCCATATACATATATGTAGTTCAGTCCCTAAACTGTTGTTGGGGGTTCACAGAGGAGATGATCTTTCACTTCTAAGTAAATTATTTGTACTTAATAAGATATACATCTATTAGAGATAGTTTGTGTTCTGCAAACCTAAGTGTCTGAATAGTTAATGTGGGTCAATAGCAAGACTTTGGAAATTGGCATCTTTGTATTCTTATTGCATGAGATCAGAGGTTAGAAACTTCTCTGAGAAAGATCTAGAGAGGAAATCATGCAGACCTCACAGGTCATACAATTTCTATCACAACTACTGAATTCTGCAACTATGGCATGAAAGCAACCACAGGCAAAGCATAAATGAAAGGTACTATTTCCCAGGTTATGGTAGTTTGCCAAATCCTGCTCTACACAAACTTATCAAGAACTGTTGGTTCTTCATTTGAAACTTTATTGCCTCAGCCTGCACTTTTCTCTTTGTCCTGGATTAGGTTTCAAGACCTATACTTTGGCTGTTGTGCCACACTGCTCACGGATTCCTGTGCCTCCTGGCCTTCAGTCTAAATAAGCTTAGCTATCTTTCAGTATCAACACATCATTTGTTCATGCACTGCCTATCCCCTGCATGCCCTGAACCTTTTTATTTTGAGTCATATGCATTCTATATCCTAATTTCAAAGTCAAGCTTAAAGTCACATCTTTGAAACGCCTTTCTCAGTTCCCCTGTTCCCAGTGATGGCCTTTCCTCTTTAGCACTATTCTGTTACTTACATGCTATTTTCCATTGTGAATTTATCTTTCTATGTGCTCAGCCTGTCCCTCTACCCAGACCAAAACCCTTGAGGGTCTGAGCATGCCTACTGCTCCCAATCTATTTTGAAAATTACACAGAGTTGGGGAAGAGAGGGATCTTCTATCCACTAGTTCACTCCCCAGGCTTAAGATGGAACCTGGGAACTCAATCTAGTTCTCCCACACAGGAGGCAGGGGCCTGAGTACTTCCACCATTACCTGCTACCTCCCAGGGTGCACCCATTCACAAGAAGCTGGAATTGGAACTGGAGCTTAGGCTGGTGCTGTGGTTTCACAGGCAAAGCTGCTGCCTGTGGCACATACACCCCATATGGACACTGGTTTGTGTCTCAGTTACCTTGCATCCAGTCCAGCTCCCTGCTAAACAGCTTGGGCTGCCACACCCAAGTGGGAGATCTGGAGGCAGTTCCAGATTCCCAGCTTCAACGTGGCCCAACCCTGATCATTGCAGCCATGTGGGAAGTTAAACAGCAGATCGAAGACCTCGCTCTCTCACTCTGTGTGTGTGTAACTCTTTCAAATAAATAAATGAAAACCAAACCAAACCAAAACAAAAACAGAGCTGACCCATGAACCCAGGCACTCTGATATGGATATAGATGTCCCCTGTAGTGCCTCAGGTCTGCTTTGCCTTATTCCCTACACCCGAGTGCTCTGGACTTTTTATTCAAATAGTTATTTGCCTTATATAGTTATATGGAAAAAAAAAATCTTTGCTTAAGAAAATCAGGTGTAAGAAGTTGTTTTTTTTTCCAATCTAAGAAATTGTCTTTTTCAATAACTGACAATTTATAGGTTTCTTCTAGGAATCATGTATATACATGTTCCAAGAATACTTAAAATGGTAGCATTCAAGCTTTCAGAGAACACATTGATGCTAACAAGTGCCCAAGGCTGTATTTATGTTAGTCCGTGCTCTGCATATGCCTCATGCATATTACTGTATTTATTTTAAATCTGAATTACTACCTCTAGTATATTATTTATTTCTTTCCTGTAAGAGAGCCTGGGTTTTGGAAGAATTGAAGAGATGGAAAGTAACAGGGATACTCAGGGAGATTACCTAAAGTTCTGATTGTTTACTGTATAACTAAGATTGCTTTCTTGCTAACAATGAAACTATGCAGATTCATTTCAGTAGTTACTTGATACGTAAGTAAAATAGACTAATACGACCTTGGGTAACTCAGCCTCATTAGGTTTTAGTTTTCTCTTCTGTAAAATAATATGTGCCTCATGGAATTTTGTGGGGATCAAATGAAATAGTGTGTATGAAATGAGGTAAACACAGCACCCCCACACAGTCAGTTGTAATAAATGGTTAATATTATTTGTGTAGCACCAGCTAGCAGGCAGATACATGCTCCAAGGAAGCTTTCCATTTAATAGAGTAGTTAAACTCATGTTTAGAACATGCAAAGTAGCAGGTAACTACTAAAAGGGAGGACTAAAGTGTTTTGGAAATTTGGAAGGAGATGACTGATGGCAATGGAATTTGGAATGAGTTTCAAAGATTGGGTAAACATTCACTGGAAAGAGACCGACATGATGCCTTGCACCTGCCATATGGATCCCATATGGGCACTAGTTCATGTCCTGGCTGCCTCAGTTCCCATCCAGCTTCCTGTTTCTGGCTTGGGAGAACAGTGGAGGACAGTCCAAGGCCTTGGAACCCTGCACTTATGTGGGAAATCTGGAAGAGGTCCCTGGCTTCAAACTGGCTCAGATCCAGCCACTGCAGCCACTTGGGAGTGAGCCAGTGGATGGAAGAGCTTTCTTTCCGTATCTCCTTCTCTCTGTAGATCTGCCTTTCTAATAAAAACAAATAAATCTTTAATAAAAAAGAGAGAAATTGTAGGAAGACCAGAATATGTGTAAGGAATGGGCTTTTACATGAAGGACATTATTTAAACAGACACATCCAAGTATAAGCTTAGGACAAACTGAAGAGGATGGCTCAGTTTGGCTGCTGTCTACAGAACTGAATGAGATTAGGTTTGAAATTCTGGCTGCACTGGGCCTTATCAGGAAGAGTTGGCTATCGATGCACTGGGCGATGAATGGAGATGAGGGTACGAGGTGTAATAGGACTTATGGGTGCTGTTTTTTTTTTTTTTTAGCTTAATTGCACTGAATTGGTGGAATTTTCCTTCAAGTGCCTTCATCTGGAAGCCTGGAATCACAGATGACTCACCTCTTTGAACCAGGTAATCCTGCTGCTCAGGATCATTCGTTCTCGCCCCATGGCGACTCTGCATTTCCATTAAGGACTGCCTACTGGGATTAAAAGCAACACTATATGTGATACCCCATAATGCTGAAGCATGACAACATCAAGCAGTGAGCAGAAGGATTAATAAAAGAGTGGAACTACAATATCAAGTTTCATAAAAATGAGAACTTAGGGTACTTTAGAGTTTTAAATACTACTGGCATTAAGATAGTTTGTAGTAACAGTATGTTTTAAAAATCAGAAGATAAAATCATCAATCGGTAAGTGAATTGATTTTAAAATGTATATTTCTAAATTAAGATCTTATCTAGCAATTAAGCAGAATAAATTAAATTTACATACATCAACATAAAGTTCAATATCATAATGTGTTATCAAGCAAGTTGCAGAATACCTAGAGTGATCATTTTGTAACTTAAACACAAATAAATCAATATTATCTTTGCTTTACGGTATTATATGTGCATGTGTGTACATATACTCACACATGCACACACACGAGTACAAATATAGAAGTCCAAAACAGATGGAAAGGCTACCCATCAAATTATTGGCAGTGCCATGTAAAGGAAAGGGAGAATATGATGAGAATAAAATGAAGTATGGGGCACAAAGAAAATCATCAACTAACTCCTTTTTTCCACCTTAATTAAAATAATACTTGAAGCAAATGAAAGAAATGTTAGCAACTGACCATTCAGGACAGGGTACATAATGGTGTGTCTGTTATTTTATCCTCTATATGTTTCCTATATTGTAAAGCTTCCTCCAAATTAAACTTTTAGAAGTCAGAGTAATTTTTATCAGTATATTCTCTTAAAGCTTATTTTATGAATATTCATTTTTGACTAATGGCAAGATGAGAAACCGATACACAAATTTTTGAAGCAAAACATGTGCTTTCCACAAGCCTCAGGCAAGCGTCACTGTAAGCCCATAGGAACCCCATCAGGTCAAAGTGTGCACAGAGCACTTACTACAGCTCCAATAAGGAAGCAACTCTGTCAGCCTCAACGTGTGCTACAGTTCTTCTCTTTCCCTTACCTGCCTTCATCTTCAAAAGCATTGTTGTCTTTCAGCAAAATTGCCAGCTGCAATGCCAGTTGCTCCTTTTCTTCATGAATCTTCTCTCTTGCTGCCCTTTCAGCATGAAAATCAGAACAGTAAACCTCCATCTGTTAGAAGGAAGATAGAGAAGTTACTACCTAGCTTACTTGTTGATGAAATGAAGAGGTTGTGCTCATCCTTTGATAGGCCCTATATATGACAGATTCATATTCCTGCTAGATGCCAATGGGAATGCTCAACCAAATTTAAGCAGGAAATAGAAGTTGTCAGTGCACATATGTGTGATTTTAAGTGATTGGAGCCCTGCAACTATATGGAGATAGGTGTTTTAAATACTTTTGGTACCAGAGGCAGGAGTTTTGGGCTCCTGACTGAGAAGTTTGTGTCCCACATCAGGGTGCGTGGATTGGATTCGTGGCTCCAGCTTTTAACAACTCCAGCTTCTTGTTAATGTGCCTCTGGGAAGCAGTGGATGATACCGGGAGACCTGGATTGTGTTCCCTGTTCCAGGCTTTGGCCTGGTCTAGTCCTGGCTGATGTGCCAGTGATTGGGTGCTCTGTCTATCTGCCTCTTAGATAAATAAAGCACTAAATAGTTAAGAAGAAAACCATTCTATATATCATTAATTTAATAAAAATATCTATTTTAAAAGAAATTAATAATCAAGTTTAACTCAATGCAATAAATAATGTAGCCATTCTGTCAGACATATTTATAAAGGCTGGTCTGAAGCTAAATGTAAAATTATAATGCATCAGTGCAACTTCTTTCATAAGTCCTATATTGGGTGCTTCACATTGATACTCTTATTTTACCTTATCAAAAGTTCTGGAAATTGGTATCCTCCTTTTACAAACAAGCTTTACAACCCTTAACCTTAAGGAAATGTGTTAAGTGGACAAATCAATATCTTGAACTCAGAATGAAGTCTTCCTTGCACATGTTGGGATCCCATATGGATACTGGTTCTAATCCTGGTGGTCCTGCTTTCCATCAAGCTTCCTGCTTGTGGCCTGGGAAAGCAGTTGAGGATGACCCAAAGCCTTGGGACCCTGTACCTGTGTGGGAGATCTGGAAGAAGCTCTGGGCTCCTGACTTTGGATCAGTGTAGCTCCAACTGTAGCATCCGCTTGGGGAGTGAATCAGTGGACAGAAGATTTTCCTCTCTGTCTTTCCTCCTCTCTGTATATCTGACTTTCCAATGAAAATAAAATAAATCTTAAAAAAAATACCATTTAGATGATAGCATAGGTGAGTATCTTCATAGCTTTGTGGACGTTAGAGGTTTTTATATAGGACACAGAAAATACTACTCATAAATGAAAAGACTGATAACAGGACTACCTTAAGGCTAGGAACTTTAGTTCACCAAAAGACTTATGAGACTCAAAAAGCAAAGTAATTGAGAAGGACTTATATTTGGATTATATATCCAAAACTCACGAAAATCAAGAAAAAGTTAAGCAAACCTAAAGAAGAGCGGACAACAGCTAATCAGGCATTTCAGAAAAGAAGGCACTTAGAAAGTCAAACACTTGAAAATGTATTCAACTTCATCAGTCATCACATAAATAGAAATTAAAGGACATAATACTATTAACTAGTAGCCAGAATTAACTATTCGCTATTATCTACTTTGGTTAATAGTAAAATGGCTGATAATACAAGTGCTTGTATAATGTAGAGTAATATAATGAAAATTGATACAACTGGTTTGGAAAACTCGTTTTAGGTATTACTGAACAATATGCACAGCCTGGGTGTGTGCCCAACAGAAACGAGTGCACATGCACGCAGAGACGTGCATGGGAATATCCCAACAACAGGGACGGAATGCTGTATGTTCTCCGTCTTATGTGGAAGCTGAGTTGATCACAGGAAGCCAGATGTAGAACAGAGGTCACTAGTGGCCAGGAAGGAGGGAGGACAGTGAGAAGTGAGAAGGATGTTAGAGAAGGGGAGCCAGTTACAATGTTACACAGGGAAATAGGGTAACTGCAGCCTCCAGCAACTAATGATGCATTTCATCATAACCAGGAAAGAATTTGAAATTTCCCAATACACGAACGTAATAGTACAGATGGAAATGCCAATAACCCTGCTTTGACCTTTATGCACTATATACTCTTCCTAGTTATAATACTAAACGCCATAAATAACATTGTATGTCAGTTAAGGAAATGAAAAAAGTCATAATGCCACAAACTGCTTATCAACTGTAAAACTGATAAATTAAGCCCTGCACTTAAAAGTTTGATGCATTCTCCACATTTCAATTTAAAATTGTCTAAAAGTCATTGGTAGGAAAAGTATAAAATAAAAAAATAATCTAAGCACCATCACTTTCCATTTGGTTAGTCAGGGAGGGCCCCATTCAGCTCAGGTTTCAGAACACAGCTAACCTGAGCCCTGAGGACGGCCATGGTTTCCAGGTCCTCCTCTTGCTTTGCAATAATCTGCTTCATCTCGTCCATTTGAAGCTGCTTCGAAGCCAGTGCCTTCTCTGCCAGTTCCAGTTTCTCATTTAGTTGCTGTAGCAATACTTTATCCACTTTTTCTGACTGAAAAAGACAATTTTAGTCTAGGCATGGTTTTGAAATAAGTCAGCTTATTAACAAAATACTAGGTGAAGGTTTATTTTTCTAAATAACTGGCTCTAAATTAGACTGTTAATGAACAATTCTAACTTCAAAAGTTGTGCTCATTTAACTATGGTTTGCAAATAATTTCCAAATTTAAAATAATAATTTTTTAAAAATACTAAAATAAAGGAAATGATAACAAATTCTCATTTGTGATAAGATTGTGATTCATCAATACTGTTATTTTTCCAAACCTGTTATTCTTGTTTTATGAAGTCAGTGTAAAAGAAGAAAGATGTTTACATTTAATTTTAAGTAGGTACTAATAGGAAAAATATCCTTATGGGAAATATAATGAAAAACAGAACAATTAAGGATATTAATCCAAAAACCATTTCTAATCCAAAATTTATATGGTTTGTAAGTCATCAAATTGGGCTGGAAAATATTACTATTTTGCATTGCACAATAGCAAGACTAGAATCTTAAGTATACTGACAGTGGTCAGCTGCCCTTGCACAGTTCCACACAAATGGCCCACCAGTCTTACCCAGTTGTTCTAATATGACAGTATGAGCACTACGCATACAGGAAATCTATGCTCTGAGTGCTACCAAGTTTCTCTTAGGAATAATTAATGGTTTACCTCGAACTGTAGGGCATCAGCACTGTCTTTGTATACAAAGCATATTATACAAGGGCATTTACATAATTTTGTGGGAAAAGGCAATTAAAAGGGAACTTCAGGGGTGAATTTTTGGCATGGTGGTTAACACGCTGCTGAAGACACCCCTTATTGCAGGGCTTGGTTCTCAGCTCCTCTGCTTCTGGTAACAGGAGCTCTGTGTAAATGCACATCCTAGCAGTGGGCGACTGCCCGTGTTCTTCAGTTCCTGCTACTCGCAGAAGAGACCTAGGTGGGATTCCAGGTTCCTGGCTTTGCATGGTCCAGTCCTGACTGTTGCAGGCTTTTGGTAAACAGGCCAGTGGATAAAAGGATATCTCTGTCATTCAATTAAAGGGAAAATATAAGGGAGAAAGATTTATGTTGGTGCAAATGTTTTGGAAATTCATGTATATAAATACAGCAGTCTGGAGAAATTATAAACAGGTACAAGAAATCAATAGAAAACTGGAAAAGCAGACTTAACATTCGACAGTTTCCATTTACTACCAAACTAAGAAATACCTCTTTTCTTGTTAGTTCTTCAATTGTTCTCAAAGCATTATTATGTTCTTGGAGAAGCTTGTTATGTGTTGACTGTAGATTGGTTAATTTGGATCTATTTAAAAGACATCAAAATATTATGATTAGTGGTGAATTAAACCTGTGACTATAGAGTGTATTAATATTACTGATGAAGAGACAGAATGGAGGGAGAGAGGAAAAGTTGGGGTGGGGTGAAGTGAGTGAAATGTGGTTGTTTTCTTGGAACATAACCTATGCAATACATGAAATCCATTCTCTTTGTATTAATAAAAATTTAAAAAATAAATTAATTTAAAAATAGGTTAGGAAAAATATAGAAAATAGTAGTCCTAATTTACAAATAGATTAGGAAAAATATACAAAATAGTAGTTCTATCTTCTATTCACATTCTGAACACCCAAGTAGTAAAATCTCTTCTTCCTTCATCATCCCACTACCTGCTAGCAATTCTACACTCACACACAAAAAACATCTCCAAAATCAAAACAGAATGAGATTTTCATAATTTTGTTTGTTATGGGAAAACTTTAAAAAAATTTTGCACCCTCTGAAGAGTCTCCTAGCACTTCTTTAAATAAATATTATTAATTTATTCTCAAATCCTAATTCCAATCCATATAAAAAGTTTCCATCTTCTTTTTTGGCAGGTTGCCCTCCCACCATGGCACACTCACTTTTCATTTTCTGTTTTAGCTTGTTCCATCTTGATTTCTGATCGCATGCTTTCCACTTGCAGTTCTAACTTTTTGTTGTTATAAATAAGCTCTTGCTTTTCACTCAGCTCTGATGGTGTTGCAGAATTTTTTCTATCCAGGGCCTGACATCTAAGATAGAAGAAGATCTCATGAGGATAAACAATGCCCCTTTGGTTTTCAGTGACTTTAAAAACATATTCCATGATTATAAGTAGAATTTGAGGAAGTTTAGGGGAGTAGGATTTACGAGTGCAAAACAGAATATTTTATCCTTCTTGCTTCTTTAATAAACATGGCTGTAGTTCTGAATCTTGATGACTAACCATATAAGTACATATCTAAGATGACAATAGGTATTATCCTCTTTGAATAATTGTTTTAAGTAAGCACACAGTTTCACAAATCAAAGTAGTAATTGACCACTGATGCTTCTTACGTTAGCACAGTCACATTCTATATTTTAAAATGTTACAGGTTATGTTAAGCACAAACATACAAAGATTTAATATGGGAAAAAGGAAGTCTCCCAAGTTCTCTCAAATATTAGAAAAAGCATTTCAATGTACTTATAGCAAAACATACATAATCACAACTATGTATAAAGCATTGATACTAAGTGCATTATTTTATTTAATCTGATAAATAGAAATTATGACACAGTGTTTATTAAAGACAAAACTGAGACTTGGAGAGGTTAGACAACTTGCCCAAGGTAATACTTCAAATAAGTTGTATATTTTTATTTTTACTATTTATTTATTTATACAGATGATTTATTTTATTTAAAAGGGTTGCAGAGAAATGGAGACACACACACACGGACAAAGAGGGATCTAGAGAGACACAGAGAGATCTTTTATCTGCTGTGTCACTCCCTAAATGGCTGCAATGATCAGGGTTGGGCCAAGCCTAAGCTAGGAGCTTGGGACTCCATCTAGAGACTCCACCTTCTACGTAGGTGGCAGGAGCACAGGCACTTGGGTGATTCTCTGCTGCCTTCCCAAGCTGCACTGGCAGAGAGCTGGATCAGAAGGGAGCAGCTGAGAATCAAACTGATACTCATGTGAGACACTGGTATTGCAGGTGGTAGCTTAACCCACCATGCCACAGTGCTGGCCCCAAACGCTGGTATTTAAAATCTAGTTCTGTCGGTCCAAGTCCTTAGCTTTAGTTACTGTGCTGGACAAGATTAATATTGTAGAGTGCTGGTAAACAGGTCCCCAGGAAAACATGCCATTTATATGTGGTATTGGAAACATACCTGCCGACTCATCCAATAGAACAATATCAACTTACCTTTGCTAAGTTTTGGGTAAATTTTTATATCAAGAGAAACAAGCAAAAGGTAAAATTCACAGTTTATATGTTAGTCTCAGTAACTGATTGAAAATAACTGAAATAATTGGAATGGATTTTGTTTGCTAAACGAACCTGACTCAAGTGTTTTATACTATTTTCAACTTTCATTTGTTCTGTTCACATCAGTGCAACCAGCTTGTCATAGGAAATCCGGCTTGCACCTTTATATAGGTCTGACATAGGCCAGTACACTTAACAGACAGCAGAATTAAAGCCCCAATTGTGATTTCCCACATAATGACTTCATGCTTATATATTAACCCGCACATTAGTATTTTCTTAATTCATATTTTAATTCTCTAGTTTTCTTATAGCCAGTAGCACAGGAAAACCCTATGACTTTATTTAGTAATATAGTTTGTAATGTGCATTTTTCAAAGGAGCATAAAATGAATTTCTTATTCTTACTTTTCTTGAAGTCTCTTCTTCATTAGCTCAGCTTCACTGAGTTTTGTGTGAGCCTCTTGAAGCTCCTTAAACAGGGATGTCACCTGAAGGTTCAACATTTCCACTTCATTTCCAACCTGTCATACAGGAAATTCCAAATGCAATTATCATGATGATAAATTAACACCTTTGTGAGACATAACTAGAATCCAATTAAAACTGGTTCAGTGTTGACAAATATTCCAACTATCCTATTTGAAAATAAATGTATTACACACAATTTTGCTCCCCCAAAACATATTAACTAATCAATTTGCATATGCTTTGATAACGATTTTATCACTATGTAAATCAACCCTTTTTCTTGTGGTTCAGGAGTCACAGATCACAGCTGACAACTTATCCCACATTTTCTTGCTAACCAATGTTTCTTTTTTATTCGACTATTTTTGTTGTATGTATAACTTTTCTTTTGGCAGCTCCATAATTCTGTCCAATGAGTTTTATGATGTTTGGAAGTCTCCCTAATTCTTATTTTAAGTTAAAAATTTTATTCATTTTTTATTGGAAAGCCAGATTTGCAGAGAGAAGGAGAAAGAGAGAGACAAAGTTCTTCCATCTGCTGGTTCATTTCCCCAGTGGCTGCGATGTCCAGAGCTGAGCCAATCAGAAGCCACGTGCCAGGAGATTCTTCCAGTTCTCCTATGTGGATGCAGGGTCCCAAGGCTTTGGGCCATCCTCCACTGCCTTCCCTGTCCGCAAGAAGCCGGATGGGAAGTTGAGCAACGGGGACATGAAGCGGAATCTGTATGGGATGCTGGTGTGTGGAGGTTGAGGATTAGCCAGTTGAGCTATTGTACTGGCACCTCAGTAATTCTTTAATATTGGCTGTTTGTTTTAGGGAACAGGGTTTAAAAGTAACTATTACTTGCTGGTGGTCTCTTCATCTTAGTTTTCTAAATGTTTGTCATTCTTTGAAAGGAGGGGATGTTTGTAGAGCATATAGTAAGCTTTCCCATATATGCTTGCTGAGTAAATTAAATTAGTTGAAAGAAGTATTTTATGTAAATCTTTTTCGCATGTGCTATGGTGGCTCTCATTCCTTCATGGCCTGATTCATTTTTCCCTCTGCTTATGACTCTCTGGCCTTAAAAGGCATGCTTCTAAATTACCATGCAATTCTGAATATGCTTTTTTTCTATCAACTGTTTTATTTAAACAATAAGATGGAATAGCAATCTTTCACTTCTGCCTGATGTTTCTGAGTCATCTCCTCAAATGATCTTACTATAAAGTGGAAAAAAATTACTTTTTCATGTAGTAGGCTTATTCAAGAAGTTAGAAGATGAAACTGGCAAAAAGAGATAGGAGGGATTTTACAGAGTGCTGGCAGGAATGCGACTCCATCTCACTGCAACTGACACTAAATAGAATTGAAGCCAGAACACAGAAATGGGGAAAATAGTCAACACTAGATGATTACCATAATTTAAATAAACAACAAGGGCAAGTGTTTGCTGCAGTAATTAGCATACTGCTTTAGATGCCCACATCTCATACTGGAGTCTTGGGTTCAAACCTGGCTCAATTTTTGATTCAGCTTCCTGCTAATGCACACCCTGGGTGGCAGTAGGTGATGGTTTAAGTGCTTGAGTCCCTGCAACTCAAGTGGCAGGTATGGATTGAATTGTAGACTTTTGGCTTCAGCCTGACTCAGTCCCAGCTGTTGCAGGCATTTAGGGAGTGAACTAACAGATGGGAAGGGTATCTCTCTTTCTCTGTCTCTCTTTCCCCCTTGCTCTCTCTCTCTCTCTCTTTCTCTCTCTCTCACACACACACATACACACACGTTCCCCTCTCCCTTACAGTCTTTCAAATAAACAAATAACACATGATAAGATATAACCTAGCTGAAATTCTATTCTTCATGTCCATTAGAGGCAGGACAAAAGCTGTGCCATCTGAGTACCCACACTCTCCGTGCCTTTTTCCTCTTCATTCTCCTTTCCTGTGCACCCCTCTGTCTGGGTTTCAGACTCAGAACGGCCATTAGCTCTCCTTTCAAAACTGGAAACTCTGAAAAGTCAGAACGTAGAAAAGTTACTTTTTCTTTGGCTTCAGAAGAAAAGCAGCACTGAAAATAATATTGTTCAAACTCTGGACCAAGGATTCGCTGTATACCATTTGGTTTTGTTTTTCTTCTTAAAATGGGCAAGGATTTATTGAAAAGGTGAATACACATACGCAAAAGAAATTTATCTTGAATACTATCTTCATAATATCCAGGTACATAAAATTCGTGTGTGTACACACGTGTTGATGCATGTGTCCCATTTATAAAATTCAGGGGCTGTTGTCATGGTACATGTGGTGAAGCTGCCACCTGTGAAGATGGCATCCCATATGGGCATCAGTTCAAGTACTGGCTGCTCTACTCTCGATCCAGAGCCCCGATAAAGCACCTTGGAAGGCAGCAGAAGATAACCCGAATGTATGGAGTGCTGCACACATGTGGAAAACTTTGATGAAATTCTAGGAATCTGGCTTCAGCCTGGCCCAGCCCAGGCTCTGTGGCTGTTTGGGAAGCCAATCAGGATTGTCTCTGACTCTCCATACTTGGCCTGTCATTTCAATCAATAAATCTTCCTTAAAAAAAAAATTCAGAACAGAAGGAAAGACTTATAGGATTCGCCAAAGTTTGCAAGCGCTTGTGTAAACAAAACAAAGAAATGAGACATTCTTATACCAAATCATTTTACATGAAAAATACTTGTACATATTTATGTGCTACAGCATGATACTTCAGGATGTGTGTGTGTAATGATCAAAACAGGATAATTCACATTTTCTCTCCTTTGATATTACTTTACAATTAGAGGCTTAGAGTTTCTTGCATTTGTCTATATAATATATACTATTGCAAATCACAGTCTCTCCACTAGTTCTAACACTTAGAACTCACTTCTTTCATCTAATATTGATTTGATCTGACCTCTGTTACTTAAGCACCCTGTTTACCTGTCCCCCTCTGAGTTCTAGCAATCACCATTCTGTGTTCAAGTTGAGTTTTTATTAGCTTCCATATATAAGGGAAAACATGTGGTGTTTGTCTTTCTGTGTCTGCCTTATTTAACATGCTTTACTTCAGTAAATGTCTTGAAAATGACAGGACTTCTAAGACTAATATTCCACATATACACATATATTTTATATACACACATATATATTTTCTTTATCCATTCACCTACTGATAGATACTATGGTTGATTCCATATCTTGGGTATTGTGGATAGTGCTGCAATAAATATTGAAGCAATGGTTTTATTTCTCTTGGAAATATACTCATAGTGGGATTACTGGATCATATGATAGTCCCCTTTCTAGTTTTAAAAGAAATCTCCATACTGTTTTTCATAGTGGCTGGACTAATTTACATTACCACCACCAGTGTATAAAGTTCTCCTTTCTTTATATCCCTGCCAGCATTTGCTACTCTGTCTTTTTGATGTTAGCTATTTTAACAGTGGTGAGGTGATATCCCATTGTTTTTTTTTAATTTGCATTTCCCTGGTGACTAGTGATGTTCAGAATTTTTTCTTGCATTTACTCGCCAATTGTATTTATTTAAAAAAAAGAAATATTTATTGGTTTTTATTGGAAAGGCAGATTTATGGAAAGGAGAGAAAGATCTTCCATCTGCTGATTCACTCCCTAAGTGGTTGTCTACAGCTGGAGCTGAACTTACCAGAAGGCAGAAGCCAGAAGCTTCTTCTGAGTTTCCTACACAGGTGCAGGGGCCCAAGGAATTGACCTATCCTTTGCTGCATTCCCGAGCTACAATCAGGGAGCTGATAGGAAATGGAGCATCAAGACATGAGCTAACTGGTGCCCAAATGGGATGCTGGCACTTAAAGGGTGGGGATTAACCAACTGAACCATCATGCTGGCCAGTATTTGTATTTCTTTTGAGAACTGTCCAAATCAGATCCTTTGCTTACTTCTTAATTGGATTGGTTGTTTTTTAAAAATCATTTTTTGAGTTCTTGATATATTCTGAATACTAATCCTTTGTCAGAAAAGTACCTTTCCCAATTCTGTCAGGTGTCTCTGTACTCTGCCATTTGTTGTGGAGAAGCATCCAAATTTGATATAATCCTGTCTGTCTACATTTGCTTTTGTTGTGTTTTTTGGGTTCTTATCCAAAAAGTCATCACTTGCACAAACGTTTTGAAACATTTCCCTTATGTTTTCTTTTAGAAATGTCCTTTGTTTCAGGTCTTGTATTTAGATCTTTGATCTATCCTGAGTTTATTTTTTACATATGATGAGAGACAGAGATCTAATTCCATTTTCTACTTATGTATATCCAGTTGATCCATAGTCCTTGATCAAAAAGATGATCACTGTATGCTCTGGGTACCCATTGTAACAAATAAGTTGGCCATATGTGTATATACTTCTGGGTTCTCTATTCTGTCCCACTGATCTGTGTGTTGGTTTTTATTTCAGTACTGTAATGTTTTATTTACTGTAGCTTTGTAATCAGGGATTATGATGCCTCCTGCTTGCTGGCTTTCTACTTAATTGCTCAGAATCTTTTGGCTATTCTGTTTTGTTTGTGAGTCCATATGAATTTAAGGATTTATAAAAAATTCTATAAAGAATTTCATTGGTATTTTGATGGGGATTGCACTAAATCTTAAATTTGCTTTAGGCAGAATGGATATGTTAACAATATTAATTCTTCCAGTCTATGAAAAAGAATACATTTCTATTTTTTCTGTATCTTTGATTTTTTTTCCATTAGTGGATAATTTTCATTATAGAATTTTTTCACTTTTTTGGTTAAATTTATTCTTTTTTTTTAAGATTTATTTGTTTATTGGAAAGTCAGATACATAGAGAGGAGGAGAGACAGAGAGGAAGATCTTCTGTCTGATGATTCACTCCCCAAGTGAGTGCAACGGCCAATGCTATGCCGATCCAAAGCCAGGATCCAGGAACTTCTTCCGGGTCTCCCATGTGGGTGCAGGGTCCAAAAGCTTTTGGTCGTCCTTGACTGCTTTCCCAGGCCACAGGCAGGGAGCTGGATGGGAAGTGGAGCTGCCGGGATTAGAACCAGTGCCCATATGGGATCCCGGGCATTCAAAGCAAGGACTTTAGCCCTTCAAATAGTGGAAAATTCAAACTGCTTCAATTAGAAAGTACATCTTGAGAGCCAGAGCCATGATGTAGTAAGTAAAGCCACTGCCTGAAGTACTTGCATCCCACATGGGTGCCAGTCCAGGCTTGGCTGCTCTACTTCACATCCAACACCCTGCTAATCTCCTGGGAAAGTGGAGGAGGATGGCCCAGGTCCTTGGGCCTCTGCACCCTCATGGAGACCTGGCAAAAGCTCCTGGCTCCAGCCTGCCTCAGCTCTGACTGCTGCAGCCAGTGGGGAATGAGCCATTGGACAGAAGATCTACCTCTGAGTCGCCTTTCTCTATAACTCTGCCTTTCAAATAAACAAATAGATAAAAGAAAATAGGATGTGTAACTTAATGTCCTATAGTTTAATCTCAAGAAGATATTTTTAATTCTTAATGGAATTAATTATGCTGTAGAATATTTGTGATTTAATTTTCCAATCACCAGAGCCCTAAAACTATCATACAACCTGCCCCATATCTTATATTCAAGGTATCTTATCACTTGGAATTTCTAAAAATACCATACTCATAAATAGAACTTTACTGATTTCAGAAATTATGTGAAATAGCTAAAATTTGGCAAAATAACAATAATTTCCTGCTGCAAATAGTGCCATCAGGAAATTGGAAAGACATTCTACTGAATGGGAGAAAACATCAGCAAATCATTTATTTAAATAGGGCGTTATATCCAGAGAATAAAATGAACTCTTATGACTCAATAACAAAAAGAAAAAAATTTTTAAGTGTGCAAGGGTCTTGGGTAGATATTTTGTCCAGATAGATATTTTTAACATGATTAAAAGATGCTTAGTCTCTAAGAAAATAAATTAAAATGACAATGAGACACCAGTTCATGTCCACTAGGATAGCTAAAAGCAACATGAAAGACAATAATAAGTATTGGCATGGACGCAGAGAAAGTGAAATATGCATATTCTGACTGGAATGCAAAATGGCGCAGCTGCTTTAGAAATCAGTTTGGCAGTCTGTTAAAATATTAAATTTAAAAGTCTTATGACCCAGCGAGACGATTCCTAGATAAATAACCAAGCATAAAAAAGAAATGTTCAAAACCCCATCCCCCCAGAAAACCAAATGTTGAAGCAAAAATTTGTACACAGAATGTTCACAGATGATTATTCATAATAGGCCAAAAGTGGGAACAAACTAAATAATCATCAACTGATGAGGGAATAAAAAATTGTTTTATACCCATACACAATGGAATATTATTCATGAAATACTGGCATATGCTACACTGTGTTTGAACTTCAAAAGCATGCCAGTAAAAAGAAGACAGTCTCAGAAGACCACATATATATGATCCTATTTCTACTGAAATGGACGAATCTACAGAGATAGAAGGCAGATTACAAGGAGGAGAAGATATTATGTGCTAATGGGCATTTCTTGTTAGGAGGGAGGGGAATTGTTCTAAAATTACATTGTACTGGCATTATGGCACAGTGGTTTAAGCTGATGTTTAAGATGCCAGCATCCCATATTGGAGTGGCAGTTTGAGTCTCAGCTGCTCTGCTTCTGATCTAGCTCCCTGCTAACATCCCACAGAATGCAGCAGATGATGGCCCAAATATTTGAGTCCCTGGCAGCCATATGGGAGATCAGGATGGAGTGCTTGGCTCCTGGTTTTGGTCTGGCCAAAACTGGTTATTGCAGGCATTTGGGCAGTAAACCAGCAGATAGAAGATCCTCTCTGTCCCTTTCTCTCTCTCTGTAATTCAGACTTTCAAATAAATAAATATATTTTTTTTTTATTGGAAAGGCGGATATACAGAGAGGAGAGACAGAGAGGAAGATCTTCCATCCGATGATTCACTCCCCAAGTGAGCGCAACAGGTCGATACTATGCCGATCCGAAGCCAGGAGCCTCCTCCGGGTCTCCCACATGGGCGCAGGGTCCCAAAGCTTTGGGCCATCCTCGACCGCTTTCCCGGGCCACAGGCAGGGAGCTGGAAGGGAAGCGGGGCTGCTGGGATTAGAACCGGCGCCCATATGGGATCCTGGGCGTGCAAGGCGAGGACCTTTAACCACTTGCGCCACCGCGCCGGGCCCATAAATAAATATTTTTAAAAAATAAATAAAATTATATTTTGGTAAAGATTATACAACCCTGTGAATATTCTAAAAACAGTAGAATGTGTAGTTTAAATGGGTGAATTAGATGAGATTTTAACTATGCTTTAATAAAGCTATGACTACAATATATGTGCTTTTCAAGTTAAGCGATTTCATACCTTTCTTTGGCTTTCTTGAATGAAATTTCAAGTGTCTCTACCTTCTGGTTTCCTTCCCTTAGGCAAAGTAGCAACTGGCTCATAGTTAATTCCTTAAGTTTCAAATAATTCCTGGCAATTTCTGTAGATTTATTCCTACATTAAAACAGCACCACCACATTCAATTCAAAGGCTAAAAGGTTTTCAGGAGAAAATGGAAATTTCAGAGACAGCTTAAGAATAGAGTTGCCTAATATAAGTGGAACCAATATAAAGAACTGCCTTCCAGAACATTCTTCAATCAACTCCTATCTAATTACCAAGACAGCTCCTGCATGCTTTTAGGGAAAGTGTGGATACTACTAGTGAGGCTCCAAAAAGGCTGACCTTACACCACTTGCTTCACTTTGGTAAGTGGTCATTGTGTACACAATACCGTAGCACAAAGCCCATGGAGACAATTCAGCAGGGATGCCAGGCTTTCCAGAGATCTGGTTTCCAGGAGGATTGCAGTCAGATAAGGCCTGCAGGCCGTGCACCCAGATCACTGTCGCTTCTTCAAGAGGACAGAAAGGCTTTACAATTTCTGATCTCAAATAAGAGCAATAAAATGTAGGCACTGTTACCACATAAACACTTTTCCCTCCATTTCAAATCTACTCAAGAGACATTTCAATGACAAGCTAGCAAAACCAGGACTATCACTATAATAACAAATTCAGGATGCATCAACAAGGCAAAGAACAGCTAGTGTTTCAGTAGCTTACTCAAGTTCACATATCTCACAAACAGCCAGGAATAAGTCTTAGCTGTCAGGGCTCAAAGCTTAAACTCAGAAACCTAGAAATCAGCCTCAGATTCCTTAGAGTACTCATGTGCAGGGTACAGAGCTACTATTACTCAAAATATCAAAGAGTGGCTTATGAGAGGAAGTGGTCATTGTATTTGGATATACATGAAGAAGAAGTTGCTTGAAAATCTCAAACAAGACTTTCTTTCTTGTACTTTCAAGAAAGTCTTTCCATATTTTTAAAAAAAAGTAGTTTGGGGGGAAAACAAGAATTTTTAATTTAAAAAGGGAACAGTTTTATATCAACTGCTTTATTTGATGAAAGAATATTATTTTTATTTAATTTTAGAGGGGCTTAGAAACATCACAGGATTTTTTTCATGTTTTGTTAAGTTTTTTTTTTTGGATATACTCATTAAGCTATAGAAAAAGATGTCAAGCGTCTATGAAGGAAGACAAATTTTCAGACAACAGCTTCCTTATTTCTATTTTAAATAATATTTAGCTTCACTTATTTGAAAGGCAGAGTTACAGAGAGTGAGTCACTTGTCTTCCATCTGTTGGTTCACTTCTCCAATGGCTGCAATGGGTCAGGGCTGGCCTAGGCTGGACCAGGAGCAAAAAACTTTATTTGGGCCTCTTACATGGGTGGCAGGGGCCAAGCATTTGGACCATCATCTGCTGTTCTTCCTAGGTGCATCAGCAGGCAGCTCCACCAGAAGGGGGGAGCCAGGACTCAAATCAGTATCCACATGGGATACTGGTGTTATAGAAATTGATGGTCTTGGCTTCTACTCCAAAACGCTGGCCGTGAAAATGGTATCTTACAGAAGCAACATGCTTACAGAAGATAAACTGATAGCATATTCAAGTGGAACAGGTAGGACTGGAACTGACAGCCATATGGAATACTAGAATCACAGGTGCAGTTTTACCGGCTATGCCACAGCTTTAGCCATGGATCAAGAGGTTTATGGGCCCAGTTCTTTTAACACACACAGTGACTGAGTTGGCTAACAGTCATTATTATAGATGATCATTAAACTTTGGTCACCATGGTCTGCAACTGGGAGTGAACAGGGAAGGGAAAATGGAAATATCTTACTTATGGAAGCTGGGAACTTTAGTCCAGGTTAAGCAGCTCAAATAATTAGCAAACAGGGATCTTTCCAGTGGGAACAAGTATGTTCTTATGACTAAATATGATGGAGATGAAATACTAGTGGTCAGTATTAACCTAAAGAGGCACCAAAATTTGTGTTTAACATTGCTGTCTTTTCAAGAATATTTACTTTCATTTACTCGAAAGGCATAGTGGCAGAAAGAAAGTATTGCTGGCACACTCCCAAAATCCTACCCACATCCAACAGCCAAGGTGGGCCAGGGTGAAGCCAAGTGCTTGGAATGCCATCTGCTACCTCCCAGGATGCTAATGGAGGAAGCTGAACTGGAAATAGAGACATTAGGACTCAAATCAGAACTCTGATATGGAATGTGGGCATCCAATTGAAGACTTACTCTGCTATGTCACAAAGAATACCACTCTGCTAGTTTTGGCTGCAGCCTTAAATTGCAATCAAACTGAATATTCTTTAAAGGTTATGATATGAATTAGGAAGAAGTTATTCTTTCAGCCTGTTAGGATGGACGCCTGTTTCTGCACCCCGCCCCCAGGATGAGCTCAGAGTGACAAGACTGCCCAGTCAGCCTGAGAGCCCTTGGTTTTATTCACATACGTGCTAATTGAGTCCATTCTTGTGGGTCTGGGACTATTCTTGATTTGTTTTACTGTCCCATTTGCTTCTGTTTCCTGTAAAAACAGAAATGAAAGGATTTTATTTAAATGCAATATGTGTGCAAGACAAATTCTTTGTCAAAAGCAAATTAAGGTCTTTGATGTTCACAAGTCAACATTTAAATGGTAAATGTTTGAGTCATTCAAATGAAGTGAAAATGTACTCCTTGCAGCCCTGCTCCTGCCCCTCCCCCCCATTCTCAGGATTATAAATAACTGGGCTAAGTAAGGTATGAAGGTCAGTCTTCTCACACTGAACACACTCCACAGAACTCAGTTGACATGAAAGCCTCTCTTCCCCTCTCTCCTCTCTTTCCTCTTTCCCTAGACTAAGGTCACACAGCAAAGCTAAAAATGGGCAGTTTTCTCTGAATGCGGCCCATAAAGCACTGTCTTTGCCAGCTGACTTCCACTGGAAATCTGCATATACCACGGGCCACCGGAGGGACCTGCACACTAAGACTTAGTTTGTATTCTATTAAATAATAAGGAAAATAAAAACTACATAATCATAGGTAGGATGGGTTCTAAGTACTTTGGATATATTCTTCCTAAATTTGGGGCAGTATTTTTCAGTTCACAGAAGAAGCAAAGCAAGCAAAATGCATTTACACTAACAAACTATCACTCATCTGTGCCTGAAAGCAGACCCTGAAAGCAGCTGTTTCATCTGGAAACTTCTGACACGTTTGTTTCTGCTTCCTGAACTTTATCAGTTATTTGCAAAAGACTAAAAACTCAGATCAAACTTCTGTTTTAACAATCTGGTAACTTACAGAAAGGGAACTCTGGCAAAGTATGCTTTTCAATTAGTGTTTTAATTGATTTGATTTCTCTTTTGATTTGGGCTCCTATTAATGTATCAAAAATATATTAGAGAGCATGGATGGAAAAGTTATTAAGAACTATTTTTCAATTCCATGAAATTTAATGCAGCAAATGAATCAGAAAGAAAGTCACACACTAAATGTTCCAGATAAATCCAACAATTTAGCTGCTTAGCAACTTGTTCTCCACTTGCCCCAACTTATCTACAAAGTTCATTTCTTTTTTTCAGGAGAAAAAGTTTCTCTCTCTTCCAATGTCAGATGTGTACTATGACAAAGCTAAGATGACAAAGGATTTTATCCTTGTGTGTTTTCTTCCTCATAACCTAATCATTTTTATGGTCCAAAGGAGAGGCCCTTACCTGTCTTGCTCTTCTTGTTTTTTAAATTAACTTCATTTTATTTGAGAAGTAGAATGACAGGGAAAGACAGAGAGCTCTCACTCACTGGTTCACTTCCTAAATGCCTGCAATAGCTGTGTCTAGCAAGGCTGAAGCCAGGAGGCTGGAACCCTGTCTGGGTTGGCCATGGCAGCTAGGGACTCAGTTGCTTGAACATTACCTGCTGTCTGCAAAAGGGTGTACATGGACAGGAAGCTAGAATGGGGAGTAGAGCCAGGACTTCAACCTAGGTACTTCACCTAGGATGTGTAGTTCCCAAGAGGCCTGGTAACTGCTGTGCCAAATGCTACCGCTGCTTTGCCCTTTAGTAGGACTGCTGTACAGCAGCCACAGCTGTGGCAGATGCTTCCCAAGAACTCAGGAATCGCTGAGCACGTGTACACCTCCTCATTTGCTGGCTTCATTCTGCACTGTAAAGCAACTAGAGTCTGAGCTCTGGCTTCCAATCAGCTCTCAGATGTCCCTGAGCAGCTGCTGTTGAAGGGAAAGGTCAGGTTGCCCCTTCAGCTTGCAGTGACAGCAGCTCTCCCTTTTTTCTCCCTCACTGTTATGATTCCTCATAGAATTGTGTTTGAAAAGGGGAATCTTTGTTTGAAAAATTGCTTAAAAGTCATTCATTTACTGCATTTGATTATAATGCTGGTCAGCTTATAAGTACTGCTGAACAGTTTTGAGAATTGGTTTAAAAAAATCTATTGGAGGGGAAAAAAAACCCTGTTTTTATCAAAAAAGTAATTTAATTTCAGCTATGACAAACCCTACAAGCATTGTTACACTTAAAAAAAATTAAAGACAGCTCATCTTTACTACACTCATTTTCCCCTTGTTATTTAGCTTTCCTGTGATGACCAGAAACAGTGGTTTTGGTGTCATCTGTCTTGCCGAGGCTTTGTAGTTTGCTTAAAATAAAACCAAAAGCAAGAAACTCACATCCACCCTAAGTTCAACGAAGGAGCGGTCTGAGTTGCCACTGGAGTTCAGTTTGAGTTGTAGCTCAGATACAATACTCTGAAGGTCGGCCTGCAGGCGTGCCACCTGCATCTTCAACTGGTCCATTTCCTGCTCCGCTTCCCCCTTGGGAGGCCTGCAGTCACCAGTAGGGCACTGGAAGTAACAGGGGAAAAAAAGACAAATGCAAATTCAATCAGATAAGGGACTTGGCCATCAAACTGGATTGCTTCTTCACCACTGACAGGGCAGTTTCTCTATGTCTTTGTCCTCTGTGCTTTCAAGTGGAAAATTCTAGCACCAACTTGGAAGTTTATTTTGACATAAAAATTAAAATAGAAAGTTTTACATTATTTTATTGTATCTAAATAATAGAAATTAGAAATAATTTCATGATAAAAGTCTTCTTCAACAAGCTGGAATATTTTTATTATTAAGCATAATAATACATGTTATTAGATACTTTACTGCTTCATTATTACAGTAAATTATTTTATTTACATTTTAAGAAATTTACATTATATAATGAGTATATGATATGTAAATTATAACTATGCTATATAGTATATAATACTTATTTTATAGTAATTATATGAAATGCAATTTTATATAGCTGCATTATTATTATTATTTTATTAGTAATTATTATACAGTATATTATGAAATAACCAACCAAACTTTGGCACTGCTAGACTCATAAACTATAATAACCAGAAAATAGACAAAATATGTTGTCATAACTCAACTCCTCCCCACAAATGCATATTCTTAGTCTGCACACACTTGTTCTTTCTAGTTAGAAGCCAAAGCATGGTACAGTAACAGCCAAACACAATGAAAGGAACAAAACTCTCTCAGGGTGTAGACTGATAAGTATGATATTCTATGTTGGTGCTTTAAGGTTGCTAAAAATCAGCTGAGAAACAAGAACATTTAAAATGTATAGGCTTGTATCATAGGTAAAAAATTAGCTTATATAAACATTTACAGTACTAATATTTCATTAATGTCAAGAACATGTTATGCTCACCCTGTTGCAATGTCTACATATATCTAGATATGACTAAGTCCTAAAAGAAGACCCTTGCTTAGAAGTGGTGTTTTCACAAGGGAGTAAGGAAGACTGATCTAGTCCACCCTCTGCTATCACTGGGTATATACTGTCTTGAGCAGATGCGCTTCAGTTCCTGACATGATTACATGGGTTAGAAGGAGAGGTGGTACTACATGGTTTCCCTACTTCATCTCTCCCAATTATAACCTTCTGGGTTTCTCTGGTTCCCTCCTGAGAACTGTATGACTCTTGAGTTCCCATTCCAAAATCTCAAGTACATATGATTGATATTATATACACACACACACACACACATTCACACCCCTTAACAGCATTGTATAAAACGCCAAATACCTTATGATTAGATTTTAAAGAAAAATCATGACTTCTTGGGAATTTACAGCATGATCAAATACCCACACAAGAAATTTAAGTAGGTCATCTCAAACTGATGGACAACATTGAGTTGTGCATAACCTTTTACCTTCCCTGATCTGAGACTTGCTAAATAAATCCAAAGACCTGTAGCTGAACCAAAACAGTATCAGAAACAGCATAGACCATGAACCACCACAAAATAGAGGGACTGGTGTTAACTGGCAACACAACTGTCCCGGACAGTACCCCTCCTCCACAGAGAGCAGGCCCAGGCTGAGGTATAACCTCTGGCCACAGAAAAGCAACTCATTGTGAAACAGTTACCTCTGCATTTGCAAGGAGGGTTAGAAATCTGCACTCTCTTTCAGTAATGACTCATGCCAACACACATTTAAAGAACAAAAACAAGACAAGGATACTGCTGAGCCTAGAGCCAGGAAGCCAGCAGGCTAAGACAAGACTAGAGCTTTATCAGCCATCTTCACCTTTACCCTTTAGCACTACTCAAAAGACAGTTTACAGAATGGGCTTTTTATAGCCATTTATCATAAGGGTAGCAAATAGTCATATTTTATTTACTCATTTTAAAAAGTTCAAATTGCTAATTTTCATTGTGTTTGAGGGCAAGTGAGAAAATGATTTTCTACCACTAGTTTGTTTCCCAAATGCCTGCAAAGGCCAGGGCTGGCCTGGTCAAAACCAAGGAGTCCAAAATCCAATCCAGGTCTCACACGTGGGCAGCAGGTGTCCAAGTACTTCAGCCATAACCTGGTATCCCTTGGAGTGTGCATTAGCAGGAAGCTGGAATTGGAAGCAGAGCCAGCACTCAAATCCAGGCATGCAACAGGGGTATGAGTATACACAATTAAGATGTCTGTCTTAACTGCTACACCAAATGTCAAACTCAGGAAAGAGAGATTACATAGGTGTGTGAGGTGTATGGATTCTTAGTCTCAGAATGTAACAGAATCTCAGATTATTATATTTTCTTGCACAGTTATGGGGATCTCTAATTATCCTTAGGGAATCACGAATCCACTTATTTGTCCATAACACCTTGTTAACTAATACTTAAATTTCCTTTTATTTTACTACTGAGATACTTGCCTTTCCTGGACTGTTGTGGTTTATCTCCTCACCTCTCCTCCAAACTCCATTATTTGTTATTTCATCACTTCTGCTCGTTTACTGATGACCTTCATGAACCTAACTTGTCTTTTCATGTATGTGTAGAACCTGTCTATCTCCCTTCTTGGAAATGTGCCCAAATGAATATGTCATCTTAGAATTCTAGAAGGAAAGGCTACCTAATGACTTTTGCTTAATCATGTATAGAGATAATCACAATGCATTATGGAACCAATTATGCCTCAGGATCAAAGGGCAGAGCTCCCACAGAAATCCCTGTCCTTTGGATGAGCTTAAAGGTTTTGTGGGATTCGGCATGACACAGCTGTAGAGAACAGCAGCATGTATGGGCTAGTTTGAACAAGAAAAGACAGAGAAGGCTGAGGAGCCCCACAAAGTTAGGAAGAGGAGGATCCAAACAAAACTCTCCAAATGGTCCGTGAAACACAGACTAAAGAAGAGGGAGCATGGCAATGGCAAGAGCTTGGCACAATTTTGGTAGGGATGAAAGCTGCTAACTAAGGGCTTTAAAGGCCTCCACTGTCCTTGCCAAGCACTCTACTGCATGGCTGAATCGTGCTTGGGGCTTGAGCCACTCATCATCTGCCTTGAAATCAGCTGTCCAGTGCAGTAGTTTCTAATGTCAAGTTATTCCAATTCTGGGACTTTGCAAGAAAACCTGAATGCAGACTTTCTCAGATGAAAAGAGTGCTTTTGGAAACTTTCTCCTTGGCTTGCCTATTATAGATCCCAGCAGGCTGAAGGCAATGGTCACCTCATACCCCCCAAAACCAAGGAAGAAAAACAGCTTATAAGGTCTGTATTTACAGAGAATAGAAGAGTATTCATTGATCTTAGGGTATCAATTTTTTCCTTTTCATTTTTTTCTAAATATTCACCTTATTTTTATTGGAAAGGCAAATTTACAGAGAGAAGGAGAGACAGAGAAAAAGATTTTCCTTCTGCTGATTCACTCCCCAAGTGGCCACAATAGCTGGAGCTCAACCAATCCAAAGCCAGGAGTCAGGAGCTTCTTCCAGGCCTCCCATGTATGTGCTGGGTCCCATGGCTTTGACCCATCTTCTATTGCTTTCCCAGGCCACAAACAGGTGGAAGGGTATTGCAGCAGCTGGGACATGAACCAGCGCCTATAATGGGATCCTGGCACATGCAAGGTGAGGATTTAGCTACTGAGCCATCATGCCGGGCCCCAGGGGATCAGTTCTTACCAAGTTTACCTCTGGGGACAGGCATGATAACTTAATTGGCTAATCCTCTGACTGCAAGCACCAGTGTCCCATATGGTGGTGTCCTGGCTATTGGTGTCCTGGCTATTCCACTTCCCATTCAGCTCTCCATTTGTGGTCTGGGAAAGCAGTGGAAGATGGCCAAAAGCCTTGGGACCCAGCATGCATGTGGGAGACCCAGAAGAAGTTCTGGCTCCTGGCTTCAGATTGGCTCAGCTCCAACTGTTGAGGCCACTTGGGGAGTGAATTAGCAGATGGAAGATCTTTCTTTGTAAATCTCCCTTTCCAATAAAAATAATAAATCTTTTAAAAAGAACTGTATAAAAATGTTTAGATGATGAAACATTTTTTCCTCAAAGAGGCAACTGAATACTTTTTGAACTGAAAAACAATCAGATGTGATAAATCTTACTGACAATGAGACACTCTGATACAAATATAAACTTATTCAAGCAAAAAGTTTTTATCATCCCATGACCAGGAGTTGATGAGTAATTTCACTGAGAAGATGTATATTTTCATAAATAACTTTCCATGCTGTAAGTCATGCTACACCATTCTCCCTATTTTCTTTCTTCTTTCATTCCTTGTTCATCCAACAAATTTTTTAAAATTAACAAGTTCAAGGGAGTCTCAGGAAAACTCAATGATATTCCAAATAAATTCTCCCTGAAGCAACCCAGTGCTTTACCCAAAAAATGGTAAATGCCAGGTTTGAAAGAAAAAGAAGAGTATAGGTTTACCTACAATCCCCAGTGAGCTATGGGATACTGGCAGGGATTTCAAATGAATCTGTTGTTTCTTCACCATGATGTTTCTTCACCCAAGCACATTTCCTGGGTTATTTGGGTCAGCAAAAACGTATCTATTGGGGCTGGTGCTGTGACACAGTGAGTAAAGATGCTAGCATCCCATACTGGCACTGGTTCAAGTCCTGGCTCTTCTGCTTCCAATCAGACTGCTTGCAAATATGCCTGGGAAAGCAGTGGAGGATGGCCTAAAACCTTTGGCCTCTGAACTCATGTGCGAGATCAGAAAAAGCTTTTGGTTCCTTGTTTTAAACTGGTCCAATTCTGGCTACTGTGGCAACTTGGGGAGTGAACTGGCAGATGGAAGACCTCTCCTTCTCTATGCAAACTCCGCCTTCCACATAAATAAGTAAATCTTAAAAAAAAAAAAAGGAATCTCTCTCTCTCTTCAATTATAGTTTCTCATCACATGATATTTGCCAAATAGTTTTGAAAATGAAAATGTAAAGTAAAAAAAAAAGTTCATTTTGTTGCCCTGAGAGAAAGGACAAGGTCAAGAAGTGAAAATTATCAATAAGAGACTTTCAAAATGAAATTTTATATCAAAGGCATAAATTAAACATTGGATAGTTCTAATCAGAGGTCCCACCTACACCTTCTATAATCAACTGAAACACTGATCTACAACCTCAATACTCTTTTGACTAAAATCACTATGATTAACGCTTTACAAAAAAAAAATTCCCCTTATAAAAATAATAGATTTTTCTCAAAACTGAAACTAATCTTTTGAGTCAAAACACTTCTTCCACAACCATGCAAAACACCAGTCTAGGGTCAATTATGAAAGATTGTTAAATGGGAGTCTAGTTTTTATTGCAAATATTCAAAAAGTATAATCACAAGTGACAAGTCTGCTCACCTCAAATGACTTTTCTGACTTCCCTTTTAGTTTTCCAAGCTCTTCTTTCAACTTCTTGTTTTCAAGACTCAAGGCCATTATGCGCTCTTTGGATTCTTTGCTCTGTAGCTCAAACAACTGGCGTTCTTCCTTCTGTTTCTCTGTCCATGCTGAAAGCTCCTCAAATCGTCCTTTCATAGTTTGGTTATTTAGTTTCATGGCTTCTGTGTGGAGGTCAGAGTGAGGGAGTCACAAAAACTAAGAGAGTGGACATACTTTGATGAGCTAATCTCCAGAGCCCACTTCCCCACATGGCTCTGAATCTAAAAATGCCAGACTTAGCCAGGGTACAAGGGCCAGCATGACAAGGACCTTAGTAGCATGAGTAGGGTTTTTTCTTTAATTTATTTATATAAAGGGAACAAATTTCACATATTTTATGATACAGATTCAGCAGCACAGCAGTATTTCCCACTATGCTCTTCCTCCTGCCACATTATCTACCCATCCTTCTCTTTCCTTCCTCCCTGCTTTCTCCTTTCTCCCTCCCTCCCTCCCTTTCTCTTTCCCTTCTTCTCTCTTTTTTTCTTCCTTCCTTACCTGCCTCTCTTCCTCCCTGCCTCCCTTTCTTTTCACAATGGTATCGTTTCACTTCACTTTATGATCACAGACTTTATATTCCATCAGGGAAAGATGTCTGTGATAGCAAATAGAAAAAGAACAAACAAAACCCCTAGGTGGTGATGGGCCAAGCCAGGCTGGACTGTGGAATGCACCAATATTTGCAGTCACCAGGGTTGGGAGGAGGCCTGGCTGGGCCAGGCTACAGCACCCACTGGCACTTGCAAAGACCAGGACTGAGGGCAGACCATGCTAAACATGGCTGTAGAACCCACTGACGTGAGTGAGATCCAGGATAGGAGCAGGCCTGGTGGGGAACTTGGGTAACTCCCCTGCCAAGTAGCAGCTTCTGCTGGGGAGCATGAGAGCGAAGGCTGGGGGGTGGGCCAGGCCAGGCAAGGCTGCAACACTTGTCAGCATATGTGTGGGCACGATCTGGGGAGGAAGGCCAGGCTGGGCCAGCTACAGCACCTGCAGGCACACATGACAGTCATGACAGGGTATGAGCTGCACTGGGATAGGCTAGTCTAAAATATCTGCCAGCTAGAGCTGAGACTGGGGTGGGCCATACTAGGCTGGGTTGAAACACCGATTGGCATGTGTAAGATCCAGGATTGGGAATGGGCCTGGCAGGGAGATTTTGGGGACTTTCTGCCAGGCCGCAGCTCCCACTGGTGGGCATAAGTGCTCTGGCTGTGGTGGACAACAGCAGCCATCAGTTTGTGTGAGTGATGGGGTTGGGGTCAGAACTCATAAGGAAGCTGCATACACTAGCATGTGCATTGGCTGGTGCAGGTGACGGACCAAGCCTGACCTTGCACTAGTTGGCACATTCAAGAATCCAAGTCTGAGGTCCCTCCAGGTGATAGTTCTTACAGGACTCCTCAACTGGATCACTGGATTCAAATTCCAGCATTCACAAATTATGTGGTTTGACATTGGAGTGCATGTGTAGGGATTGCTGATGCCTGTATAGTGGACAGTATAGCCACATGCACATGGGGAACATGACAGCCAGCTCATCTAGGCCAGCAGAGAATGTCGAGTGCCTCATCAGAGGATGGAAAGCAGAACAGGCTGGACAACTCTCCTGGCCAAACTTTGCAGCAATGTTCCTGGGCCTGTGAATACACTCAAGTGGACTTGCTCAGCCAACAGACTTTGGAAAGATTTTCTCAACCTTGGTGTAACAAAACCAACAATGTCTCAGAGCTATAAAGTTAACACCCTTGGAATATTATTCCCCACAATGGAGTCTAAGGTGTCATCAAATGACTGTCCCCCCATTCCCAGGTACTGCTTTAGTTTGACAGTAAGAAGCAGTTCCCTTCTCTTTCCCCTCAGTGAACAGAGAAGAGAGAGAGAAAATAACTGAAATATTTGTCTCATTTACCTTCCTGGATATCTTGAACCTCTTCACCCAAAACGGAGGCTCATATGGGTGTGCATCCCTCTCAACTCGGTAAACAATATTAAAAATAAAATAAAAATTAAAAATAAAACCTATTCTCCAGGAGTATAGATAAAAGCTATACATAAAAATTGAGTCACAGAATTTCAATCTCACTCATATAGACTACATTTTTGTATTTTGTGTTTTAGTTGTCACAGATCAGAGAAAACATGATATTTGCCTTTTGGGGACAGGCTTATTTCACTAAGGATAACGGTTCCCAGTTGGGTCCATTTAGTTGTAAAAAAAAAAAACAAGATTTCATTATTATTATTTTTTTTTTATGGCTGAGGAGTATTCCATAGTGTATTTTTCTTTATCCAGTCATCCATTGATGGGCATCTTGGTTGATTCCGTATCTTAGGTCTGTGAATTGGGCTGCCATAAACATGAGCGTATAGGCTGATTTGATTTTATTTGGAAAAATTTCCAGGAATGAAATGGCTGGGCCATATGTTAGATCAATTTTCAATGTATCTGAGTAATCTCCATACTGTCTCCCATAATGATTGTACTAGTTTACATTTCCACATCTTCACCTTACTGCTTTCTGATTGGTTGAGTGGTTTTGATTTCTATACAGAACTAGTGCGCCCAATGTCATTTCTAGTTCTTAAAAAGTTTCAAGAAAACTGATTTTGAGTACTTGTACTATAACACAGATTTCTATTGATAACCAGAAACTGAGGAAGGTCTTATTACTCTTAGATTTCAACACTAGCCATGTCAAAAATTCAAAGCTTGAGTTATCAGAACTTTCTCTTAATGAGGTGTTATTTAGAACTAAGTCTGTTATCATGGCAGTCGTTCTTTTTTCTTTTACATAAGTTAACTTTCATTATGCTATTTCTCTGTGATACACAGAATACTTTTTATTCTTACCCGATCTCAGCAATAATCAGCAGAAAGCCATTTTAGCCTTACTAGAGGTTAAATGCTTTGTCCTTTCTCCAGCCAAGAGAAGCAGCAGAGGGAGCTCATCTGCAAGCCTTAGTACAAAGAGACTGAATGTCTTGAAGGTCCACGGCGAATGCAGAAAACCTGTTGCTCACCTTTCAGCTGATGGTTCTCAACGAGGAGCTCTTTCATCTGCTGCAGCAGCTCCTCTGGGGTGAACGCATCCAGATTTGGGTGAGCCAGATGGGGGGGTCCATTTCCTGTGGTTTCATTGGGGCTTTCTCCCTTCTTAGTCAGGGAGCTGAGAGGTTGGTGGGACATGGCAGCAGTTCCTATGGAAAAGTCACAAACTGAAAATATAGCTGTTCCTTTCTGCCAGCCATGAGTCTCCAGAAGGTCCACAGATTCCCTTGCAAGTGCTAATGCTCATTTCCAAAGTTGTCTACTTGTTCTCCAACTACACTTTGAATGTTTAAAATTCTTTTGTTTAATTAAAACAAAAGGATAAAAAATTATGTTCTAGTTTCAAGGATATACGTGTATGGATGCTGTATCAGTTTAGGGTGCTATATAAGGGGGTAAGTTATATATAGTGAGAAATTGAGAAATGAAAGAGGAAAGGTGTATCTTGATGTTCATAGGATTTATAGAGTTTGGCAAAATACTGAATCCCATGCAAATTACTGTTAAAATTTTACTTTTAAGTGTTGGGGAGAGAGAAAGAGAGAGAAAGAGAGAGAGAGAGAGAAAGAGAGAGAGAGAGAGAGAGAGAGAGAATCCTCCATACACTGGGTTACTCCCCAAATGGTTGGAACAGCCAGAGCTGGGACTGGTAGCAAGCTAGAAGCCAGGAGTGCTTAGCATTAAATGACTCAAATGTACTGTTATTATTATTTTTTTAATCCTTATCCCCCAACTCCCAATTTGGATAAATGCCATTTCTGACTTTACACAAAGTCATTCCTGCATGGAATGATCTTTTTTTTTTTCAAGATTTATTTATTTATTTATTGGAAAATCAGATATACAGAGAGGAGGAGAGACAGAGAGGAAGATCTTCCGTCCGATAATTCACTCCCCAAGTGAGCGCAACGGCCAATGCTATGCTGATCCAAAGCCAGGATCCAGGAACTTCTTCTGGGTATCCCACATGGGTGCAGGGTCCAAAAGCCTTGGGCCGTCCTCGACTGCTTTCCCAGGTCACAAGCAGGGAGCTGGATGGGAAGTGGAGCTGCTGGGATTAGAACCGGCACCCATATGGGATCCCAGGGCATTCAAGGTGAGGACTTTAGCTGCTAGGCCACGCCGCTGGGCCCATTGAATCATCTTGGTGCTAACGATTACCAAATCATGGTGTTCCTACTTCTTTTGCAGAGGAATATTAAAATGGACCTAAGGATACAATCTTAGTATCTATACTCATCAACATTAAAGTTCCTCAGGTATTCAGTTGTTATAGTACGTATGGCATAGGCATCCAATAGATATCTGACCAGGTATCTGAGATGTGTCTGGCTTCATCTTACTGTAAACCTGTTTATCCTAATGGCTTTCCCAGAAGTAGAGGGAAAGAGGGAAAGGGAAGAGAAAATCAAATAAAAAGAGGGGAAGAAAGGACAGAGGAAGAAAAGGAAAAGAAGAAAAGAAAGATGATGCCTTGAAAGTTGTTCAGAAATATGTCTGATTTTCTTTTATTCCCTTATAAGTCCACAAGTACAACCATAATGCCATTAAAAATTATTTTAGTTGCTGCAACAACTCATCTCCTCTTCTCAATTTGCCAACATTTTACAAGGAAATAAGAGAAAGCATGACTGCACTAGTGGAGACAATAGAAAAACCCTCCTACCGGGTCAGCTGTTTGGCCTTGAGAAGTCACCTGATCTCCTATTATAATTTTTATAATTACTCAAAAAATTTTTAAATTCAATTTTAAATTCTATTTTATTTTAAAATCAGAAAGAGGGAGAGAGGGGCTGGTAGGAAGAACAGGAGGTGGGGAGAGAGACAGATACAGGGAGGGAGGGAGATAGAGACAGATAATTTTTCCTATCTGCTTGTTCATTCTCCAAAAGCCTTAGGGCTAAGCTAAGCTGGGTTGAAGCCAGATTCAGGAACTCAATCTCCTATGTGAGTGCATAGGAACTCAGGTATTTGAGCAACCACTTGCTGTGTTTCAGGGTTTTCACTAGCAAGAAACTGCTAGGACACTAACTCTGGCACTCTGCTATGGGATACGGGCATCACAAGCAGTAAAAACTGCTGTATTAACTACCCATTCTCTTGTATTATTTATTGGTTCATCTGGCAAATGGTGGTCACTAACAATCCTGTAAAAAGTACTCTTTTTAGGGTACTTTAGGCCCGGCGGTGTGGCCTAGCTGCTAAAGTCCTCACCTTGAACGCCTGGGATCCCATATGGGTGCCGGTTCTAATCCCAGCAGCTCCACTTCCCATCCAGCTCCCTGCTTGTGACCTGGGAAAGCAGTCAACGACAAGCTTTAGGACCCTGCACCCATGTGGGATACCCGGAAGAAGTTCCTGGATCCTGGCTTTGGATCGGCATAGCATTGGCCGTTGCGCTCACTTGGGGAGTGAATCATTGGACGGAAGATCTTCCTCTCTGTCTCTCCTCCTCTCTGTATATCTGACTTTCCAATAAATAAATAAACTTTTTATAAAAAAAGTAACTCTTTAGTACTTTTGAGATCACAGTCCCATTGCTGTCTTTCACCACAGACCCATCAAATATCCTCCTCTTACAAATGTATACCCTTTTACCCTAATTAACTATGTAAAAATTGTCAAAAATATGAAAAAAAAACCCAAATGTATACCCTATCCTAATTACAGTAGTCTTAGGAAAAATTTGGTAATGCAAGTGTAATAGTAAATAAGTTAGCACATGTAGCAAATGTAAGCGTACAAATATTAACTCTAAAAGCTTTGCTAACCATAATTTAATTGACTTTTGGTGACCCAAAGGCTGCTCTGTGATTTTAGAGGATTTGAGGGCCATCACCATGTGCACTATCAGTATACAGTGCACCTGTGAAGTATCTAAGGGAGAATGCCAGTTATAAAGCTTAGTTCTCAAAGTCTTTAATAATACTGCCAGCTACTTCCAATTGGAAACTCAGAAGTAAATAAAAAATCCTCTCATCCACCTTTCAAGGTTACAGAAATTCAAACTAAGCCATTTATTACAAAGATTCACCTGCTAATAGATTTTCTCACAGTAATGCAACTGCTGTATCATTTCTAAGCAAAGATGACATCTAACCATGAAAAGGATAAACTACAGTACAGGATTTGTCAAGATCTCACCAATGAGGAAGTCTGAGAGCTACCTGGTAGACGGTCAAAAGCAAACTCTTCTAGGTTTTATGCCTAAATCTGTTCTGTGGATTCCCACTAGTATTAATTCTTATTCTTTTTTTTAAGATATATTTATTTATTTGTCTTGGAAAGGCAGGTGTACAGAGTGGAGAGACAGAAATATCTTCCATCTGCTGATTCACTCTTCAAGTGGCCACAATGGCCAGAGCAGAGCGGATCTGAAGCCAGGAGGCAGGAACCAGGAGTTTCTTCCCGGGTCTCCTGCACGGGTGCAGGGTCCCAAGGTCTTGGGCCATTTTACTGTTTTCCTAGGCCACCAGCAGGGAGCTGGATGGAAGTGGAGCAGCCAAGACATAAATTGGCACCTGTATGTGATCCCAATGCATGTGAGGTGAGAGCTTGTCTACTATACTATTGTGTCAGCCCCTAATCCTTATTGCTAATCTCAGAGGTCAAGTAATTACATCATTGTCTTTGTAGACATTCCTGAGTTGGACTAAAATTTATCCAGTCTGTTTTAAGAATTATTTATGTCAGGGGCAGATATGGTGAGAAAGAAACGGTTGGTTCACTTCCCAAATGCTCACAACAGCTGGGGTTGGGTCAAGCTAAAACCTGGAGCCAGAAACTCAATTCAGGAATCCCTCGGGGGTGACAGATTTAGCCAGGTGAGCTATCACCTGCTGCCTCCTGCAGCATACATCAGCAGGCAGCTGGGATCAGGAAAGGAGCTGGGAGTTGAACCTAGGCCCTCTGATATTGGGAATGTAGGGACCTAAACAGAGTCTAGTCGGCCAGCTTGTCTAGTACAAGAAAGTCATGTCTTGTATGTCTTGTTTGCATGGCACATGCTCACACAGACTAGGCCTTAACACTTCAGTGACAGAATATATGAGCAATGACTTTAGAGACAAAGGTCTCTTCCTTCTACAGGATGACTGATCACCAGAAAGTTGTATGTGTCTAACAAGATCTGCCTTATGCTGACTTCCACAAGTGGACACTGGACAGAAAATAAGTTTAGGCTGTTTTTCTGATGTGACTAAATTCCCAAATTTACTAATGAGGCATTCAGAGGTCCAATCACAAGTAAGGATGAGCAACCTTTTTTTTGTTGTTGTTAAAGATTTATTTTTATTATTTTTTCATTGGAAAGGCGGATATACAGAGAGGAAAGACAGAGAGGAAGATCTTCTGTCCGATGATTCACTCCCCAGGCGGCCGCAACGGCTGGAGCTGAACCAACCCGAAGCCAGGAGCCTCTTCCGGGTCTCCCACGTAGGTGCAGGGTCCCAAAGCCTTGGGCCGTCCTCGACTGCTTTCCCGGGCCACAGGCAGGGAGCTGGATGGGAAGCGGGGCTTCCGGGATTAGAACCAGTGCCCATATGGGATCCCGGGCATGCAAGGCGAGGACCTTAACCACTGCACCACCGCGCTGGGCCCGATGAGCTAGCTTTTAACTATGAAACTTGTTTCTCTATCCAGGACACTAGTTGACTGTTATCAAATTTTGGTTTGGGTTCATAAAGGAACTAAGATTCCAAGATCACATCACCTAAACCCATCAGTGCCCTGGGCAAAGGACTTTAAAGTGTACATATAGGGACCAGGCGCTGTGGCGCAGTGGTTAAGGTCCTCGCCTTGCATGCCCGGGATCCCATATGGGCGCCGGTTCTAATCCCAGCAGCCCCGCTTCCCATCCAGCTCCCTGCCTGTGGCCTAGGAAAGCAGTCGAGGACAGCCCAAGCTTTAGGACCCTGCACCCGCGTGGGAGACCCGGAAGAGGCTCCTGGCTTCGGATTGACTCTGCTCCAGCCGTTGTGGCCGCCTGGGGAGTGAATCATCGGACGGAAGATCTTCCTCTCTGTCTCTCCTCTCTGTATATCTGCCTTTCCAATAAAAATAAAATAAATCTTAGAAAAAAAAAGAGTACATATACATCCTACAAATGGGGTAAAAGAAACCACACTAGGGCCTGTGTTGTGGCAGATTGGGTAAATCTATTTGTAGCCTCAGCATCCCATATCAGAGTGCTGGTTCAACTTCTGGCTGCTCAGCTTCCGAATCAGCTGCCTGCCAACGCACCTGAGAAAGCAGTAGATGCACCTAAGCTCTGCCACATATGTAGAAGGCTTGCATGGAGTCCTGGACTCCTGGCTTTGA